ACAGGTGTGGTTGAGCCCCGGCTCCTCTCCAGGTCTCAAGGAGGCTCCCCTTGAGTTCTTCTGGGATCGAGTGAGCACGTCAGATCATCTGATTTCCCCGTGGCTCACCCTTCGTTATTTCCCGTTCCCCTTTCAGGCTGCAGACTTATGGAAAGCATCCTTCTGCCGTTAAGACATACATCTCCATAGCCGTTAGTTGAGTTCACGATCAGGACTCTGTGGGGGTGATCCTACCATGATTTTGTAAAGAGCATAAGGTAATTTCCCCCCAGCAGCCTCTCTGATGACATCCTATATCTTTTTAGCCATCTGGGTTGGAGCTTTGGGCAAGGCCAATGTCTTCAGGGAACATTATCAGTATCTACGTGCTTTCCTTCCTGCCTCCATCCATGCTTGATTCGGTCGGCGACGGGAAACCGTGGGCAGGGGAAGTCCAGTAAGAGCTGGGCTCAGCGAAAGGGCACCGCGGCAGTGACTGCGGTGGCCGAGTGTTTGGACCCCGAACCCGGGCAGTGGCGGGGGGCGGGGGATGGAGTACAAGGAGCAGATGGGACATGCTGTCGGAAGTGGAATCTATTGAACACAACTTTTGTTTGCATGGGTGGGAGACAGGAGAAGAGAAAGAGAAGACATGCTGAAATTCTGAGACTGAATTTAAGGAAGAAGAATGGTGCCTGGCCAGGTAGCCCAGTTGGTCCCAGCATTGCCCTGATACACCAGGGCGGTGGGTTCCATCCCCAGTCAGGGCACATATGGGAGTCAACCGATCAATGCATAAATGAGTGGAACAACAAAAATGGATGTGTTCTCCCTCTCCCTTTCTTTTAAACAAAAGAACTTTTTTTTTTAATGTTAAAAAAGAGTGATGCCATGAATAGAAATAAAGTAGTTCACAGGAAGGGCTGATTTTCAGAAGGGACGATGACACATTCAGGTTCGTACCCCAAACAGTGAAGGTTAGACCTGGGTGGACCCCAAGACCACATCTGCCGAGACCTGTCCGTTGACTCGGGGAGGTGACGCCGAGTCGGAGGTGCTAGGGGGACATTCAGCTTTGCACGAGTAAGAGGGGAGTGGGTGTAGATTCAAAGTACAGAGTCATCCCCAATGTGGTCCCTCAAGGAGAAAACACTGGGCGAGCCAAGGGCAAGAGCATTTAGGGGGAGGAACAAGGAGAGGGACAAACAGGGGACACACAGAAGGGGCTACCCGAGCGTAGAGTTAGATCGTGTGGGGGCCAGGGAAGCAAGGGGGCATGAGGTTGCGAGAGCAAAGGATGTTGGCTTGGCAGATGCCTCTAAGGGGTCTTGAACTTGCTAGTGGCCTTTCAGAGAGGGCTCTAGAAGGCTTGATGGGAGCAAGGGTTACCAGGGGTGGCCAACTTTTTGGTGTCTCTGGGCCACAGTGGAAGAAGAGTTGTCTTGGGCCACACATTAGATACTGTGACACATAATCACACACACATAAAAAAAAACCCTCATAATGTTTTAAGTAAATTTACGATTTTGTGTTGTGCCATATTCACGGCCATCCTGGGCCACATGGGGCCCATGGGCCATTGGCTGGACACCCCTGGCTAGAGTTTGCGCTCTAGAGTTCAAGGCTACTTTCTTCTGGCTGAAGGGCTAGACCTGTTATCTCCCTGACCAATCTGTTCTCATCTGCACAGATGCATATTAACAACTTACCTTTGGCCTTGATGTGAAGGATAAGAGCCACCACCCACTGAATCCTTGTTCTGTACCAGGCCCTGGTCGTTACTTGAGCCCTTGGCCCACCCTGGCCTATCAGAATTAGAGAAGATGGTGATGGTTGAAGAAATGCATGGGGCCCAGAAAGCAGACCCAGACGGGGATGACTCCTCATTCACTCACCAAATTGGACAATGAATGGTCCGTGAAAGATAGGGGCCATGACTTGAGAGAAAGTGGACTTTGAAGATTTTCTTTTCAAAGATTAGGGGCAGCTTGATCCTATTTGTCAGCCCAGGAACGGAAGAGCAGTCGGCCTCAGCCAGCCTGTGCAGTGCTCTGTGGCTCGATCAGGTAGGTTCCTTCTTTAGGTGTCTTTCACTTTCACTCTTCCTCTCCTTCTGGTGATCTTCTGAGACCCTGCCCATGCACCAGCAGACAGCAGAGACTTCTTGTGAGGGGAAGATGGGGAGCCCCCCTCACCTGTGTTTGGGGACTGGAGGCACGGGCTCCATGCCTCCAGACCCTGTCTTTCCACTCCTGCCCCAGCCTTTTGCCTACTTGGCTGAGAGGACGTGGGCTCCAAGCCACACTGGCTGGTCTCTTTAGATAGTGATAAAGTGCAATGATGGCAACGAATTCCTGCAAGTGCCCTGGGAAGCTATAGCCCTTGGAGCTGCTGGAGGCAGTGGGGAGGGATTCTGAGAGGCAGCAGGAAGCCATGGATACCTCGTCCCCCTCTGAGGTCACCCTTTTTCCTTAGTGACTCTGGGGTCAGCTGGACACTGTGGGGTTTTCTCTGAAGGAACAGTTTTATCAGCCCACCCAAGTAGTGAGAGCAATAAATACTAGAGCAGGAAGAGAGCGGATAGGGGCAGAGCAGTAGTGTCTGCTGTGGGCTGCAGCCCTCTCAAGTTCTCTCTTAGTTTAGGCCCCCTCCTTCCTCTCCTGCCTGGAGTGCTGTGGTGGCTCCTGAACTGGTCTCACTGTTTCGAGGGTCCCTCCCTGAAACCCCCTCCCAGCCCCAGCCTGCCTCCCGAGATGTCGTCTCCACCACAGATCTAGTCCTAGCACATTCCTGCTTTAGGCATTTCCCCCCCTTCTCCAGGATAAAGCCCTCCATCCTCACCCAAAACACTCGAGGCTTCCCCCCATTTGAACCCCACTCACGGCAGTTCCCACCAGGACCCTCACCTGAACCATTCCTCGCTGTTCTTTCATTCATTCCTTCGTTCACTCGCACCGTCAGCAGGTGTTTCCCGGGGGCCCGCTCTGAGTAGCGCTGGGCCAGGGTCTGCTGGGAACCCCACAGCCTGGCCAGGCCACACTCCTTGACCACCCCGCACACCCTCACTGTCTCTCAGGGCCCCGTGCCCTGGGCCTTCCTTCTCACTCACCCCATTTGTAGCCTGCCAGCTGCCCCCCGCCATGCGCTGGTCCCTGGGTCTCTCTCAGAGAGCACTTCTTCCTATGAGAGCCACCACCGTTAACATTTTTTTTTTTTCATTCAAGTTAGGTATTGTGTTAATCGTCCTTTTGAAAAAATCGCCGTCTTAGTTTCTATTTCAGTGGACCCTTAACAGGCATCCCAGTCAGTGGCCCTGGTGTGCCTGCCGCACCCGCTCCCAGCTCGGGAGCGAGGCTCTTCAAAACCGGGGGCCTGGTTCTCTTCCTGCCTGGAGTTGGCAGCACTAACGGAGGGCACGTGAACGGCCCCCAGCCTGATGGGACAGTGCTGCCCAGCAGGCTCACCCCTGCGGGAATGGCAGGAAAGGGGCCGGCGTGGCCCCCGACTGCCCTGTCCCCACCAGCCGGCCAGGGCGAGCTTCCCCCCCACCACGCCTGCACCAGGCTGCTCCCCAGCAAAGCGTCTGTGGTGGTTCCTTTCCACTGACTGCGTTTGGAGAGGCCGTGTGAGGTCTGAACGGGCCCAGCTCTGTCCCCTGTGCATGTGGCCACTTCATGTCTCCTAAACCTGTCCTTCCACGTTTACGCAAAACAATATGGGGCCTATTCACCTCACAGGGGTGGAGTGGGACACTGACAGAGAGCGTGCCACCTGTCGGGGACCTAGGAATCACCCCATTGAGATCTGAGGGCCCCTTATTGACTTCTGACTCCCAAGGCCTTCCTCACCCCACCCCACCCCACCCCACCCCACCCCACTCTGCTCATCCTTACTGCCCACTTGTCCTCAGCCAGCCTTTGCATCTAGAGCTCCTAGTCAGCCCTTACCTCTGGGCAATGATCTAAGAAGCTCCAGCGGGCTAAGGTCTGGGAGGCTGCCCCTCCACCTATCCTTTTAACACCCCCATATGCATTTCCTGGAGCCTGTTCAACACCGCCCAATTAATCGTGTGTGGTCCCGTGATGCTTCCATGTTCTTCCCCCAACCAGGTTCTGAGCTTCCTGAGCCCAAACAAGGACCGTGTCCTGTTCTAGTCGCGTCCCCACTGCCCCCCGCAGCGGAGCTTCCTTCTCCCCGACCATGGTGCTTAGCACAAGGAAGCAAGGCAAAGAAAGGTTCCGCGATTCTTTTCTAAGATCGTCTGATTACAGGGTTCAGGGCCCTGGACGAGCCCGAGGACGGCTCATTCCTCCAGGGAGGGTGCAGAAAGGCGCCAATGTGGAAAGCTCAGTCAGTGTGGAGATACTGGAGTCCGGATTCCAGTACGCTGGTGAGGCCGTCGCCTAGCCAAGCCAGCGCCGAAGTGCAGCTCGCCAGCCTGGAGGCTCCGCGCCACGCACCCGCCTGCCGGCCGGAGCCCTCTTTGTGAGGCATCAGGTGCAAACTCAGGGAGCGCGGGACGAGTGCGCGCGCGCTCCGGAGCGCGCGGAGCCTGGCTGCCGCCTCCGCTTGCCCTCCCAGCGCCTCTGGGATCTCCTCCTGAGCCCCGGGCGGAGGCTGGGGGGAGGGAGAAGGTCGGACACGTAGCCGGCCTTGAGGCAGGGCTCGACTCCGCGCGGCCTGGCGGGCGGGGGAGCCAGGGACCGCTGCTCCAGCCCGCTGGCCTTCGAAAGATCCTCCTGGGCCAATGGCAGGCGGGGCGACGCGCTCGGATTGGTGCAGGCGCTCTGCTGATCACTGTGGAAACCCGGGCGGCGGGGAACGCGGGAGGATGCGGAGCCCCGGACGGGGGGAGCCAGAGGGGCGGGCAGAGGAGGCGTCGAGTCTCTGAACACCCGAGAGTTTTTACTGGTGGCAAAAGTCCATCGCGGGCTGGCGGGTGGAGGGCGGGGCGGAGGAAGGGGACTGCCTGGGGGCACTGGGAAGCCAGGGATATTCCGAGGGATATTTGGCAGCACACTCCCAAGCAAAGTAAAGGAGGTTGGGGGAGGGGGCGCAGTGGGAGGAGGGATAGAAGACAAAAGCCGAAAGCGAGGAGTGCCCGGCCGAACACTCGGGCCACCGGCGCCGGTTGGCTGCAATACACGGGGGATCCCGGTCGGTAGGCAGCATGGGGAAGGGGGGGAACCAGGGCGAGGGGGCCACTGAGCGCGAGGCGCCGATGCCCACCTTCAGCTGGGAGGAGATTCAGAAGCACAACCTGCGCACCGACAAGTGGCTCGTCATCGACCGCAAGGTCTACAACATCACCAAATGGTCCAGCCGGCACCCGGGAGGCCAGCGGGTCATCGGGCACTACGCGGGGGAAGATGCCACGGTAAGAGTCTGGGAGCTCTCCCGCCACCATTCTCTACCGAAGGCGGGAGTCAGGAGTCCTGGGTCTCAGGGCGCCAAACCTCCACCGCTAAATGGAGCTCGGGGGCGTCCAGAAGGGAAGGTGTGTCTACTGCGCTCATCCCTCCTCTCTGAATCTTTGTCCCATGGGACAGGTGGGCCAACCTGCTGTGGGGGTCGGATAGGGACCCCGGGAAGCTGCGCCGCGGTGAAGATCCGAGCGGTGGAGAATCGTGCAGGATCTACCGCGCGCACTGGGACCCACGCGTCCGCTTCCTGCACTGGGCTCACCGGAGCCAGGGACGCCCAAAAGGGGGCGCTCTGGCACCAGGGCTTTGGCGCCCCCAGCGTGGAAGATGGCCGCCCCGGGCGGTGCGGAACCGAGCAGGAGAGGAGCCAGGTGTGGGACCCGGAGGGCGTCCCTCATTCTCCAGCCAGGCTAGGGGGCGGGGAAGGAAAACTCGTTCCCGGCCCGAGCTTGCTCCTGCGTGGAGTCCGGCCTAAGGAGGTCCGCGATGGCTCCCTCGGAGAGACCGCCTGGGAACTCCTGTTCCCACGCTCTCAGAGACTCCCAGGACCCACCTCACTCCAAGGATTGGCCTTGTTGGGGACTTGGTGAAAAGGAGAAAGGGCTGGAGTTTGCAAAACCCAGGTTCAGTGTCGTCGTGAGCCGCGTGGATTTTAGCAGCTCTAGGCTGGTTTGGCAACAGGTTCAGCTGTGCCCGAGGTTACTCTGGGACGTTCAACTCAATGGTCCTCTGTTTTACATACGGCGAGGAATGCTCTTCCCTCTTGCTCAACCCCTATCCCAGAAGCTTACTTCTAAGGTCAGACTTTCCGGGCGTGAAATGTGCTAACTAGGGATGTAGTGTAATGGTGGAGGGAGCAACTGGATATTTACCGCCCCCCCCCCCCCCTCACCACCCCACCACCCTTCGCCATGGGAAGTATGGGAAGGGGACTTGAAGAGAAGAGGCAGAAACAGGCTAGGAATCCAGAGAGTTTTGGTTTTAGGTTGTTGAGCGGGTGCTTTGCCCCTTGGAGCATGGACTGGCTTCTTCCTCGGAGTTAGGGGAGCGACAGTATTATGGACCCAGCAAGTTTGGGGAGGGACCGATCAGCACGCAGAGGTGGCCTCCCCTGCGGCAGCACTTCAGTGCACTGCCGGGGCCCAGCAGCATGCAGTCAGATCCTCACGAGAGGCTGAAAGTCAAGGGAGCTCTCCTTGGACTGTGCAGCTTTCAGCAGGGAATGTTCCTGTTTCTGAGGAAGAGATGCCAGAACTCAGTACTTCCTCTTCCCCAGAAGGATGACCTAGTGAAGGGCAAAGGCAATGGCCATTTGGGCCTTTTGCAGAAGTTAGAACTTCTTGTCCTGCCTGGCCAGGTGGCTCCGCCGGTTGGAGCATTGTCCAGGGCACCAAAGGCTTCGCGTCCGATCCCTGGTCCTCTCCGCCCGGGTGCGTGCAGATACACGTGTCTCTCGCACACCGGTGTTTCTCTCTCTCTGTGAAACCAATAAACACGTCCTCGGATTAAGAAGTAAAAAAGAAAACAACTAAGGAAACAAGAAAGAAGTTAGAACTTCTTGGCCTTGCCTGTCAGAATAAAAGTTGCTTAATTTTTTGAGCTACATTAGAAACCACATTCATACTTATGAAGTCGTTTCACCGGGGCTGGGATCAGCTCGAAGCGTCTCTGACTGCTCGCTGCTCTTAGGTTTAAAAACCTGCTCCAGCAGAAGCCCCCGGGCCTACTCTCAGAACCTGCCATCCCAGAGCCCTCCCTACTTCATCTCTGACCTCTCTCCCTCTGGTCCTCTGGCACCTCTCTGGTCTTGCTTTGCTGCGGGCAAGAGGGACCCTCACCCGGGCCCTAAGGGTGTCTGCTCTTTTCTTGGCCCAGTCCCACCACCGCAGGGCTTTCTGCTCTGGGGACTTTTAATCTTCAACTGCAATTTCGTCACATGTGTTCGGTGTCTCCATGGCTCAGAGCTGGGCCCTGGGCACAAAGATGAGTAATCCACCCACACATCGGCTGGCTTTGCTTCCCTCCTTCATCTCAAGCTGGGGCGTGAATGCGGACCCTCTGCCTCTCGGTTCCAGCGCCACCCATCCCCCTTGTCCAGCACTTTCCTGCCCCGGCCCCTCTCAGAACCCAGAGAAGCGGTCAGGATTCATTCTATCTCATAAGTTGCTCCCACACTGTCCTTGTGAAAAGGACAACACATTGAAACTGGAAGGGGTCCCTGTCCTTCAGACAGAGCAAGAGGGTCTCAGTTGAGGCAGAGGACAGGGGTTTGAGGGCCTGATGTGAATCTTTAGACAAGACACTTACCTTGAACTTCCCTTTCCCTGTCTATGAAACGGGAAGGCTATTTGTTATCAGGCTCAGTGGGCTGTGTGTGCAAGGTCACTGTTTGAACTTCAGAGTGCTCTACAGGCGTGAGGGGTCCTTACCTTGTGTATATTCCCAGCATGCACAGCGGGGAGCTCAGTAAACCAGAGAAAAAGTGGAAAGAAGGAGAACCTAAGGGATCCCGTTTTTTAAAAGGAAGACACAGTCGCTGCCACAGAAAATCCTCCTTTGGTTGTGCCTGGAGGGCAGACGCAGCCCCTCAGCTAGATCTGGGTAGGAGCCCCCATCCTGCTGGCTACAGCCTCAGGGAAGATCCCATACCTAGCCCGGAATTCCTGGTATTTTATGCAGACTCCTGGGAAGCAGGAGTCCTGCTTCTCCACTGTAATCCCATCTTGCCCAGGTATCCTGCCTGGGGCCTACTTCCTGTGTAGCCCTACCCTTCCCGTCCCCACCCCCCAGCCCCTCACACCCCTGGCAGTGCCTGCACCTGGCATTGGGGACACTTGCCAAGATCTCTTTGGGCACAGACCACTGCCCCCACCAGCCTCCGTTGCTTCATTCTTTTAGAGGGGACGTGGCATAAGAGGCTCCCTGCCCTGCCTGCACCTCTGCTTGCTTTGGAAACGAAGTCAGCACCCCTGTCTCCAGCTGAGAACCCAGGGTCCCTCTGCTTCTCCCTCTCTAACCACGTGTTGCAGAGTCCTGGTTCCCAGGGCTGCTGCCCACAACAGCCCTGTATGCCCGGTGTTGGCTCCTCCCGCACTTCTGAGTCCCGGGCTTCACGCCCGGATGTGCGAAGCTGGGTTAGAGTCCAGTCTTGCTCTGCAGAGAGGGTGGACTCGGCCAGAAGCAGATCGAGGCACCCGCTGCTCAGTGCAGGGGGAGGAGCTGTGAGCTCTGCCTGGATGGGGCGGTGGCAGGAGCAAGAACTGTGGAGGCCAGGCAGTGTGACATCCACACGTCTTCCGGTTGAGAATCGGGGTGTTGCGGCCCTCCCTCCTGCGGCCTGGCCTCCTTACCCGCCGGCGGCACACTCTACCGGGAACACACCCCTCACGGCTCTTCCAACCCGTTTGCTACTCCTTTCTCTGCACCTGTGCCTGTGGGCTGTTCCTGGAAAGTGTTAGGCTTCCTTCCCCGTTGGACGAACCTGGTTCCAAGTATTTCACATTCCAACCTGGGTTGTCCCTGTCTTGGCCCTGCCGCCAGCAGTCACTTCTGTAGCCGTTGGGAAACTTCTCCACGGGTGTGCAGCACACGTGTGACCCTTTGGAGGGGGAGACGCTGCAATCAGCTCTCAGGGAAGAGGAAGCTCGGTGTGACTGAGGACTCTGTATTAAGAATGGGAAACCGGAGAGTCTAGGCATACCTGGAGTGTGACCGGGGCCAGGTAGCTTTGTCTCCCTCGGTCTCTTCTCATCATTCTCCCTAAAACAGGACCCATCTCAAAACTCGGGGAAGATTAGTGGCTTGTGTGCATAAAGCCTGTGGCTCAGTGGCTGGCCCACACAACCTCAGCATGGGGCCCTTCTGCCAACCACTAGTGTGTAAGAGCTGGGGACGGCGAGGAGTTCCCCGTTCCAGAAGGATGAGCTGAGTTCTGCAAAATGGCAGAAGAGTCTGAACATGATTGCAGAGTGCCACGGTCTCCTGGGATCAGGAGGCGCACAGCCAGGGGTCCCCAGGTTCCCGCAGTTACTGTGAGCCCTCCCGTTGGGTTCTGTTGTAGGCCCTGCGGTTGTTGTGGCCAACAGGGTGGGTGTGGCCTTCCCTTGTGGAGCTTGTATTCTTTTTTTTTTTAAGATTTTATTTATTTATTTTTAGAGGTGGGAAGGGAGAGAGAGAGGTAGAGAAACATCAATGGGTGGTTGCCTCTTGCATGCCCCCTGCTGGGGACCTGGCCTGCATTCCAGGCATGTGCCCTGACTGGGAATCGAATCAGCTACCCTTTGGTTTGCAGGCCAGCACTCAATCCACTGAAGCACACCAGCCAGGGCTGGTATTTTAATGGAGACAGGCAATAGGTTCTGCTGTCCTTTGCTTTTAGTTATTAAGGAAGGGTGCAGAAAATACGTGCCGTCTGGAAACAAGTATAAGCAATTGCCTGGCGCATGCAGTCTCACGGGTTCATGGGCCCGTGTCCTTACACACTAGTTGTTTCAGGGTAGGTGTTAATTACAGCGAATAATTCAGCTATTTGTTACAGGTATCAGACATCCCCTTCCTTAATCAGGCACCGTCCTCCACTTTGTATCCTTGCAGTGCTCAGTTAGCTTAACTGTCTGCACTACCACAAGAGCAAGAATATCTCATTCATCTTTCTATACCCTTTGCAGCACCACTTTTGTAGTTGGGATACAAATATTTGAGGAGCAGTGAGAAGTAGGTCTACAAACCAATTTGGCATACTGTAGAAAATGGCAAGCTCTACCTTAAGAAAGATGTGAACACCCTTCTTATTGGGGGAGGGTTGAGAGGGGGATGTTTATGTTTAGACTTTTAATCAAGTGCATAATAAAACTAAAAAAAAGTACAACAAGAAGTGAGCACAGCCCTGACCGGTGTGGCTCAGTGGGTTGGGCATCATCCTGTAAAACCAAAGGTTGCTGGTTCGATTCCCAGCTGGGGCACATGCCTGGGTTGCGGGTGAGGCCCCCGGTTGAGGGTGTGTGCAAGAGGCACTCAATCGATGTTTCTCTCCCTCTCTCCCTCCCTCCCTTCCCCTCTCTCCGAAAGTAAATAAATAAAATGTGAGCACAGCTGCTCCCCAATGAGTGGTGGTCTGACTGAAGATGTATTGACTTTACAAATCTTCGGTGCTGCAGAATTGACATGCATAACGAAAGTTGCATGAGGTGTTAAACACTTTACGGACGCATCGATGGCTTTGTGCGAGATGCTTGTGCCCCACGCTGGGCCCCTGTGGGTTCTGAGTACGTGTGAGGTGGGCAGGGCTAAGCTCTGATCAGTAGGTTAGGTGTAGTAAATGCATCTTCGACTTTCGATCTTTTCAGCCTCCGATGGTTTATTGGGACATAACCCCCATCGTAAGTCGAGGAGTGTCTACACATACTATAGCCTGTGATCTTGATAACTTGTGAATAAGCTGAAACGTGTCTGGGAGAGAGTGTGGGGCTGGAGGGTGGCTGCTTCCCGTGGGGTGGCTGGGAAAAGCCTTTCTGAGGTGCATCCCAACGCAGCTGACCACAGGACACGGTGAGGACAGGTCTCCAGGCAGAGGGGAAGAGCCGAGCCATGGTCTGCTGTGGGGACGCGCTTGGTGGGTTCCCACCAGGCCTGCTCAGAAAGCTGCCGGACCCAGCAACGCTCAGCTTTCTAAGCTGGCAGGAGGCAGCAGGCGTGTGGGGAGACAGCCCCTGAGTCAGGGGAACCTGCATTTGCTACTGGCCCGGCCCCTTGAGAGCTCCACCAGGTCCCCGGCCTGGAGGCATGACCTGGACCTGGTGGGGGCGGGGGGAGCTGGACGTGGGGACAGCACACTTGCAGACCGCTGCACTGAGTTCTACCTCTCCCCGAAAAGTCAAAAGAGTGGAGAGTAACCATTGAATTGTCCGACCAGGCAGCTGCTCCCCAGGAAGCTGCCTTTATCGAGAACTTCCTGTTCGAGGCTCAAAGGCTGTGGTCCGATGTGAGCGGGACCAATGAAAGGGCTCCTTTGGGCTCTGGCTTGGGGAGGCAGCTCTGCCCACTGCAGCACCACCGGCACTCTGGGCCCGGCTTCCGCCCCGCACTGGGCCTTTCCCAGGGCCTTGGGACTTGGGAGCAGGGAGGGACCTCCCTGGCTTGTGGGGGAGGCGGAGGCTGGGTGCGGGCAGCTGGCCCGGAGTGGGCACAGCTGGTCAGTCCTGGATCCCAGGCCTCCTCGCTGCCTGCCCAGGGCCCCTGGAATAGCGGCCGGTCTCTTCTCTGAAAATACTCGTAATCAGATGCCCTGCCACCATCCCTTTTCTGCTCAGCGAGGGGGCACAGACCTTTGTTAAAAAAAAAACCCTGGGCCCCATTTTCCTCTGCACAACGTGTTGCTTTGTGAGTCTGTTCTAGACACACGCAGAGCAGAGACCGGGCGAAGGACGTGGTGCCAGGGATGCAGTAAGGAGGTGGGAGAAGACCGGCAAACACTGCCGAGGGGGCTTGGGTGGGGGTGGGGGTGGGGGCGGGGCGAGGCAGAAACCTTTGTGTGCCTCGTCAGCAAGTCCCCACGGCTTTCCTTTTGCTTTAATGTGAAAATGTCCAAACATACAGAACAGTTAAAAATAAGCAAACACCTGTATAGCTTCAACCAAGATTCACTAATTTTTAACATTTTGCCACATGTGCTTTCTCCCTCATTAGGCATAGGCGGTTTGCTTTTGCTGAATCGTAGGAAAATAAACTGGATCGTGTGCCGTCTCAGTCCTAAATTCTTCACCATCTTCTCCTCAGAACTGGGACATTCTCTACCATCATCATCATACCTTTACCAAGTTCAATGAAATCAATAATGACTCTTTTTTAAAAAAAGGTTTATGTATTTATTTTCAGCGAGAGGGGAAGGGAAGGAAAAAGACGGAGAGAAACATCAATGTGTGGTTGCCTCTTGCACGCCCCCTACTGGGGGCACAACTGGACTCATAACCCAGGCATGGGCCCTGACTGGGAATAGAACTGGCAACCCTTGGTTCGCAGGCCGGCGCTCACTCCTCCGAGCCACAACAGCCAGCGCATAATTCTTTAATACGATCAGATATCCATTCCATATTCAAGTTTTCTCATTCACCACCCCCCCCCAAATGGTCTTGTATAACTGCTGGGTACCCCCCTCCCCTAGGGAGTCTTTCAAATCAAACATTACAGGTTTGATATCTACTTACCACCTCTCTATTCTGTCTCTCTCTCTTTTTAAAAAAGATTTTATTTATTTATTTTTAGAGAGGGAAGGGAGGGAGAAAGAGAGAGAGAGAGAGAGAGAGAGACATCAATGTGCGGTTGCTGGGGGCCGTGACCTGCAACCCAGGCATGTGCCCTGACTGGGAATCGAACCTGCGACACTTTGGTTCGCAGCCTGTGCTCAATCCACTGAGCTACGCCAGCCAGGGCTCTATTCCGTCTCTTTTAATCTAGACACGCCCCTCCCCACACACCCCCTCACTCCCCCCCCAGCCTGTTGACTCTCCTGGTTGTCCCCCCTGCCTTTGGACTTGCTCCTGTGCCCGAGCAAAGGCCCAGAGCTTGGTTGCGTGCAGGGCGGACACTGTCCCCCGCGGGGACTCCACACTGCAGCCCGTCCGGGGGGACCGGGTGGTGCTTCATCTCCAAGGCGGGTCTGTCTCGAGACAATGCACGAAATGCACAGAATGTGTCTAGAAAAAAAACAACTGCAAGGAAACACACTAAAGCACCAGCGACAGTGGTCACTCCCTGGGTGGCCACTATTTTCCAGTCTGTTCTGTCCTTTCATTTACCGAATTTGCCAAAACTGTGCACATTGTCACTGTGGAATAGGAACAAGATGAAAATGGCCAACATTTTTTTTTTTTCAATTTTAGAAGCAGCGCAGCAACATTAGAGGAAATGTGGAAAGTCATGAAAGTAGAATGAGCCATAAGACCCGCCACCTTCACCTGTAATACAGAGCCTTCCATAGAAACTATTTTTATAATTTTCATAGTTAATTTTATACTTTTTCAAATTTTGAAAAAGCTTCCCCCCCCCCAGAAATCTTTGATCTAATTCTGCATTTGTTTTTGGTTTTACGTGGTCCCTAAGCACATTTTCCATGCATTGGCAGAGTCTCCAGCCTCATTCCTCTCACAGACAGCGAGTGTAGGGGCGGGGGGGGGGGTTTGCAGGTGGCCCCGCCTCTTGGGGTCCCAGGCACCCAGCAGAGGAGGCGAGGAAGCTCACGTCCTTCCCTGGCCCTGCCCAGCCGGGTGCGGGAGCCCTGTGTCTGTCGCTGGAGGGGCGCATTGCTCCGACTGGCGCATTGTTCCGACTCGCCCAGAGGCAGCCCATGTGTCCCGCGCTCACCTTCCGAGAGCTCAGTGCTCCCTCGTCGGGGCAGAGGCCCGGGTGGCACGTCGGTGGGCGCTGGGCACTGACGCATCTGCCCTGGGTGAGGCCTGAAAGAGCATTTGGGGCCAGCGCAGGGGAGGCCGCAGCGGTGCCTGAGTGGGAGGCACGGAGAGGTTTACTGGTGAGGGGTGCAGGCTGAGGCCCCGGTGCCCACTCATCTCCTACCCTCCGCTCCCCAGGATGCCTTTCGCGCCTTCCACCGGGACCTTGACTTCGTGCGCAAGTTCATGAAGCCCCTGCTGATTGGCGAGCTGGCCCCGGAGGAGCCCAGCCAGGACCGGGGCAAGAACGTGAGTCAGACCGGACCAAGGACGGTGGGAAGGGAGGGTCTGCAGACAGATGAGGACCCCACCCGCAGGTGCAGAGTGCTGGGTGTGGGGCAGGGGGGCTTTATGCCAGTCTGGGGGGAGCCGCCACCCATCCGCTGGGGTGAGGGAGGACTCAGGGGCCTCTGCAGGAGCCACAGGCCCCCCACCCCACCCGGGTCCTGGCTGACCCCCCACTTGGAGTGATTCATGCCCAGCCTCTCTACCTCTGGGGCTGCAGTGGGCCCAGGCTGGGCAGAGGGTTGCCCCCTCTCGTCCCTCTGCCTTCCCGAGGCCCACCTCCCTCCTGCTGGCTCTCCACATGTGCTCCTCCCCCCCTCATCTTTCCCTCCGGGAGCTGGGTGGTCTGCCTGGCCTCCGTCATAGGTGGCTTCATCCTCCACCCCCTCCCAGGCAGCTCTTCTCCCCAGCCCCCAGAGGCCCACAGACTCCCCACCCCCACCCTGCTCCTGCTCCTCTAGCCCCCACCCTGTCTCCCCACTTTCACTGCCACTTAAGTGGTTGACAGAGATACTCTTCAGGGTCTTCCCTTATCACCCAGGCTGCCGGACCTGGCCTCCTCCACCCACAGGCACCCTGTCTGCCTATCAAACGACCCTGGGTGTGTCCTGCAGAGGCCTTCAGCCCCTGATCTCTCTACCGCCTCCCCCCATCCCCATCCCTGCCCCCTGGCCATGCCCCTGTTTCCTCAGAGCCATCCTAGGCTCCGCCTCCATTGCCCCTGACCCCACCAGCCTCCTTCCCAGCTCTGGGGGGGCGGGGGAGGGCGAGGGGGCGGGGCAGGGACTTTGTCCTGCTCTGGTTTTGTGCCTCCCCCACCTCCGCCTCCTCAAGGCCCCATGGGGTACCCCGAACAAGGCCGCCTCCGTGTCTGGTATTGGAAATGGCAAGCTTTTGGGGGGGGTGGGTAAAATAGACGTAAGATAAAATTTACCATTTTGACCATTTTTAAGTGTACGGTTCGGTGACTTTGAGTGCTTTCATTGGCACTCCAGAACCATTTATCTCCAGAACTTTCTCACCTTCCCAAACCGAGACTGTCCCCCGTAAACAGTAATTTCCAGGCTCCCCGCCCTGGGCGGTGGCGAGCGCCGTCCCGTGTTCTGTCTGTGAGTCTGTCTGCCTGTTCCAGGGAGCTCAGACGAGTGGAATGAGCCAAGCGCTCATTTGTTGGTGTCCAGCTTCATTGCACCGAGCGGAATGTCTTTGAGGTTCGCCCGTGTTGTGGCCTGGGTGAACGTCTCCTTCCTTTATTATAAGGCTGCGGAGCAGTCCGCTGTCCGGACGGATCTCGTTTTGTTTAAGCAGGCATCCGTCAGCGGTCTCCGGTTTGTTCCACCTTCTGCCCATGGCGAATAATGCTGCTGAGGACGCGGCTGCACAAAATGCAAGCTCTGGAGTCCAATCCTTTCTCTGCCACTTAACTAGTTGGCTGTGGACGAATGCACAGTCCCCGGGGCTGTGCCAGGCCCAGGCAGGCACGTGGTGATGACCGCCGTTGTCGTGCACCGTGGCTGGTGGCTGACACCTTCCCTGGTGGCTGACACCTTCCCTGTGCTCTCGCTCCGCAGTCCCAGATCATCGAGGACTTCCGGGCCCTGAGGAAGACTGCCGAGGACATGAACCTGTTCAAGAGCAACCACCTGTTCTTCCTCCTGCTCCTGGCCCACATCATCGTCATGGAGAGCATCGCCTGGTTCATCGTCTTTTACTTCGGCAATGGCTGGATTCCGACCATCCTCACGGCCTTTGTCCTCGCTACCTCTCAGGTGAGGCGTGGCCCCCTCACCTGGTGCCCCGAAGCCCTGGGCTCCCCCAGCTCACAGAGGCCCCCCCCCCGTGTGGCCGCTGTCAAAGCACCTGGCCCTCTCTCCCCAGGCCCAGGCGGGATGGCTGCAACACGACTACGGCCACCTCTCTGTCTACAAGAAGTCCACGTGGAACCACATCGTCCACAAGTTCGTCATTGGCCACTTGAAGGTAAGGCTCAGCAGCCCTGGGTGTCCGTCCCGTCACTTAGCAGTTGGTGACGCTCTGTCTCACTTGACTCTGAGACCAGGTCCCCTCTCCTCCCGCCTTCTGAGCCCTGACTCCCTCTCACCAGACCCAGCGAATCTGTGGGCTCGCCAGGAAGATGGGCACAGGCCTCTTGTGCCTGTTGGCTCTGCTGGTTACATCGTTGGCGCCTTATCTAAGGGCTTACCTAATGCATTCCCTTCAGTGTGGGGCCGGTAGGGGAGCAGAGTCTCTTGATGAGCTGGAGTGTTCTTGTCTCTGAGCTATGGGAGCGGTTCGCTGCTTCGTGGCCTCTGTTTCTCCTCCCCGGTAACACAGAGCAGCACTTGGAACGGTCCTTACTCTCGCTTCTGTGAGCTGTCTCCTCCTCTCCTGCTACGAGTCATTTATCATCATTTCGTGAGTCCTTCATCACAAGCAGCCTCCGATAGGCTTGGGGCGATGACAAGGAGGTACTGTCCTCCTAGAAGTCTTTAGATAAGGGGACCTCACTCGGTACAATGAGGAGCTGAGCCAAAGGGCCAGGTGTGTTTTAAACTCAAAGATGTGTTTAAAACCTGGTTCTGTCCATGCTGCAGAGGAGGAGGAGGAGGTGGGCCCGCCGAAGTGGCAAGTTTGTAAAGCCCTAGCTGGGCTTGCCGGTGGGTGACCTTGTGCTGATCTGAGCGGCGTTATCTCCTTGGTCTTGGAGATAAGCCTTTGCCACCGCTCTCTCTGAAACAGATCATCCTCTGCCCCAGTCCGCACCCTTCAGCCTGCAGCTGCTTCCTGAGAAAGGCTGCGTGCTGAAGGCTCCCACCCTCCCCACTTTCCCCATCCTGGCTTGGGAAGAGCCCCAGGTCTGGGTTAACTTAATCCTCCTGCAACCCAGATGCAGCAAGCAAGCCCTTGGCTTACAGGCTCCAGGTCTGGTTGGGGGGTGGGGGGGGGCGCCCACTGAACCGGTCACCAGCTCCACAGCAAGTGGCTGGCCTGGCCCTGAGCCTGAAGCGGTCTGAGAATCTGGGTTCTTTCCAGAGTTTCAGGGGTGAAGGGAGTGGGCGCTCATAGTAGAGCGCTTTGTTTCATTTCATATGCTTTTCTGTTGGACAAACCCCTCGTCAGTGTTGGAAAGTAACATTTCACTCCCAGCCCATGTTATCCCCACGCATCGACAAAGATGGGCTGTGTCCTGTCTCCAGATCCTGGGCAGCAGCCAGGCCAGGAGGTGCTTTCCCCTCCTGATGGCCCTCGGTCCTTAAAGGGCCCTGGAGCACAGCTCTCGTGTCGTGTGGAACACAAGGTCAGAACATAGGGTCGGCCTCCAGGGACAACTGTCTTAGGAAATCAGAATTCTGGAATGACAGGAAGATGGTGTTTGGGCTCAGAGATTAGAGGAGGTCAGGGTCATGGGTTCCACTCGTGGCTCATCGCCCTCCCTGCTGTGTGTCCTTCACGCCGCATCCAGGCCAGTGACGAGGCCATGCAGCTCACCCAGGGGTGCCCCAGAGCTAGGGCCATCACAGCGTGCCTGGAACTGCTCTGGTTCCCGGTGGCCACGTTGCTGCAGGCAAGTCTTTTCTTTTTCTTTCCCTCAAGATTTTATTTATTTTTAGAGAGAGAGGAGGAAGGGAGAAAGGGAGAGAAACATCGACTGGCTGCCTCTTGCATGCCTCCACCTGGGGACCTGGCCTGCAACCCAGGCATGTGCCCTGACTGGGAATCAAACCAGCGACCTTTTGGTTCGCAGGCTGATGCTCAGTCCACTAAGCCACACCATCCAGGGCCAGACAAGTCTTACAAGGCCATCCGTTCCTCTGACCTCTTTCCTGGGACAGAAAGAGACGGGCTGCGGGCAGCCCCGTCACCTCAGATGTTTTAGCACGAGCAGTGAGGACTGTGAACAGGGCACTGGGACCTGCTTTCTCAGTGCCGGCCTGTGCAGCTGCAGGATCCGTGTGAGAGCCCTCCATGTCCTGACTTCCCCCCTTCCTTCAGCCACGCCACTTCCGGGGGAGGAGGGGCAGCTCTTTCAGAGGGTGATCTTACGTAACGACAGTTCTAAGCAGTCATACTTCGGCTTAAAACCCTTTAATTGCTCGCCATGGCACTTAGGATAAAATGTGAACCGCAGGGACTGGTGCCAAATAGACTCTGCATCTGGGGATGGAAACCGGAAACCTGCCAGGCTTTTCACAATCTCATCTCGGGCCTCCGGGGCCAGGACTGGGGCGAGGCAAGGGAGGCATTCACCCAGGGCGCAGAACCTAAGGGGATACCAAAAAATTTTTACCTTGGTAATCAAGGTAACATTTCAATGCAGTATTTTCTTGAAAAATAAAAATCAATGCCCAAAAAAAAATCCTCATTGAACAAAATATCAACATTGTTTAAATTTATTTTTTTTAAGATTTCATATATTTATTTATTTATTTCTAGAGAGAGGGGAAGGGAAGGAGAAAGAGGGGGTGAGGTACATCAATGTGTGCTTGCCTCTCACACGCCCCCTGCTGGGGACCTGGCCTACAATCCAGGCATGTGCCTTGACTGGGAATCGAACTGGCGACCCTTTGGTTCGCAGCCTGTGCTCAATCCACTGAGCTCCACCAGCCAGGGCTCAAAATATCAACATTTTAAATACAGATCAGGGCAATGCTGAGCCACATTGGAACCGGACTTGGAAGGAGAAGCTTGCGCCCCTGTATACATGTTGGTATGCATTCTCTATTTAATGGTTGATTTTTTTTCTCCCCAGAGCATTAAAGTAGTTGACAAATACTTACAAATTGGAAAGTCAGTGTATTAAAAGCCCTGGCATGAACTTTAAATATAGTGCTTATACCAAAACAGAATGCACTGCTTTATTTCGGTTAACTGAAAAGTCATTTAAGGTGGTCACTTGGTTGACGTCGCCCCACTTAGCCACCCTCGCGGTTGGAAACAAGGTGAGCCAGAAAGTGGATTTGGAAACGATGGATGATGAGGCTGCATCCGCTAAAACCAGAGTGCACCTGTTTCCTTTCCCCTCTGGCTCGGATGCGGCTCAGCCCAGCCCTGCTGGCTGCCATCCTGGGGCTTGGGCCCAGCCCAGGGGGCCTTCCTTTGGCTTCTGGAACCATCCACACGCCCCCCCCATCCCTCCATCCCCAAGGCCCTCACCTGGACTCTTCCCCTCTGTCAGTCCAGCGCCCTCACTCGGCCTGGCCCCCTCCTGCCCGGCCTGCAGACCCAGGGCAATCCTGAGCCACTTCCCGGAACTTGTCCAGCCCCATCGGCCCCATCTCACTGTGGTGTGATGCCTGACGCCCTGGCTCTAGACAGCGGCTCCTTCCCCACTTCATTCGCAGGGCTGGCAGCATGGCCACCAGGGCCGGCCCCTGTTCCCTGGGCAAGCAGGGCTTCTTGGGCAGGAGGGTTCGGCAAGCAGAAGGAGGGCTTTGCCTAGCAAAGAGGAACGGAGGAGAATCACAGGAAAGGAATGGCACCATCAAAACACGTTTTCTCATTCCGTCCCAGCCAGCCAGTGCGCCCTGGCCCTGCCTGGCTGCTGGCCTGCCCATCTCGCTGTCCCCGGGTTACACACTCTGCAAACACCATGCTTACTCATAGCATGCCTCGCCTCTTACTGTCTTTGTTCTACATACTTGTCCACTTCATCCTCCTCAGGAATTTGGTGTGCAGGCCAGGCCGGCACTCAGTCCCCTGAGCCACACCAGCCAGGGCTGGGATTTGGTTGCTTTTGGCCGGAGAGACGACTGTGTTATCTGATTCCTCGGCCCTCCGAGCTCTTGCTCCCTAACACTTGGTTGTGCCCTGACGGGCTTTGAGGCCCACCTGCCTGCCCGTGCCCGAGACCGCCGCGGCTCAGAGCCATTCCCGCCCAAGCAAAATGTCTGTTTCCGTGATTAGGCCTTTTTGGAGATGGCCAGACCCTTGGCCAGCACGCGGATGGATCCGGGAACAGTTCACCCCTGACGTCCCGGTGTGAAGGGTCAGAGAGTCTTGTTTCCATGCGTCACTGGGCTGCTCTGTGGAGGGACACGCCCTTGAACTATGTCAAGAGCTTGAGCTGGTGAGACCGATTCATGGCCTGGAAATAAATACTCACGTAATGCTGCTTATTTCCTAGAATCTTAATTTTACACTTATGTGGGAGAGCCAGGAAGCTCTTACCCGCACTCGTTAGTGATGCAGGCAGTCCCTCCTGGGCCGTGCGGCTGACTCAGCCCTGCCCCTCAGTGCACAGTGGGTCTGGCTGTCGAAGTGTCTCTTGCCAGCTACTCTGGGCCCTTGTTTGTTTAAAAAATGCTTTATTGCGATACCGTTCACATATTATACAAGTCATCTGAAGTGCAGACACCAGTGACGTAACCATCGTCACAGTCCATTTGGGGACATATTCATTGGTCCCAAAAGAAACCCCTGCCGCCTAGCTGTCACCTCCCAATCCTCTTACCCCTTCCACCCGCTGGGACCCTCGGCAGCCCACAGACAAACGCCCACCCGTCTCTAGATCTCTCTGTTCTGGACATTTCGTGTGAATGGAATCGTCTCTGTGGTCCTTTTGGACTGGCCTCTTCCACTGAGCATGAGGTTTTTCAAGGTCCCTCCCTGTGGTACGTAGCGTGTCAGTGCTTGCGTTCCCTTTGGGGCCTGGCCCAACAGTATTCCTCTGGGCGGGTCCGCCCCATTCTGCTTAATCCAGTTCTCCGCTGGTGGGCGCTGGGGTTGTTTTGCACTTTTCGGTTATTTTGAATCATGCTGCTGGGAACATTCACGGACAAGTTTTTGTGTGGTCATGTTTTCGTGTCCCTTGGGTTCATACCACGATCTCTTCTTACTTACACAACACGGGCACGCAGGAGCCGTGCGGAGGACCAGGGTGTGGAGGCTCGCGGTTGGTGCTGGGGGAGCGCAGGGAGCACCCCACCCCGGCCGGAGTGCTCACCGCAGTGTGGTGCATCGGTCGGCCCTCACCCGCCGCCATCTGTGTTTCGCTGCTGGGGAAACGGGCCTGGGCGCGCGCTCTGACTTGGCTCCACTCAGGAGTCCTGGCCACACGGCCGCCAGCATCCTTCGCTCGGTGCTGGCAGGGCTGCATTCTTTCATGGGCAGATACCTTTTTCTAAAAAAAATTGATTTTGAGAGAGAGGGAGAAACATCGATTTATTGTTCCACGGATTTATGCATCCATTGGTTGATTCTTATATGTGCCCTAACTGGGGGGTTGAACCCACGACCCGGGCATATCGGGGCCACACTCTAACCAACAGAGCGACCCTGCCAGGGCCAGACACCTTTTGTGTAACAGAGAAGTCACCCCTGAGTGATGGAGGGGCCAGGTCCCTAGGAGCTGGCCCTGGGCGGGCCTTGTCGCCAGTGCTCTCAGGTCCCCCGGCAACTGCACTCCTCGACCTCCTCTCCCCCCACAGGGCGCCTCCGCCAACTGGTGGAACCATCGCCACTTCCAGCATCACGCCAAGCCCAACATCTTCCAGAAGGATCCAGACGTGAACATGCTGCACGTGTTCGTCCTGGGCGAGTGGCAGCCCATTGAGGTATGTTGACGGCAGGGCGGGGGCTGGGCGCTGACCTGGGAAGTGTTTGGCCTGAGTGGGGATCAGGTCAGGGATTCTGTAAGGTGACTCTTCGGCCAGACCTGACCTGTACTCGGAAACCTCTCCTGGACGCCCTGAATTATTCAAGCTGCGGTTTCTGGGGAGCAGCTTCGCGTGTACACGACAGACACAGTTTCTTATCAGAGCATCAGTGCTGGTTAGAGGCCGCCCCACTTCCACTAGAGGCCGGGGAGGGGTTGCGGGAAGTGGCAGGGGGAGCTGGTTTCAGCTGGCAGGAAGGCACGATCCCAGGGCTCAAGCTTGGTCCTCAAAGGCCAGCTCAAGGAAAGTGTATTTGGAAAGTCGCAGGCCTCCCCCTGGAAGGGAGCTGGCCACGGTCTGTTGCACCCGCTTCTCCAGCAGATGAGGAAGCGAGGCTCAGCGGGCGGAACGGGTGTGGCCAGGGTCACTAGTTAGCGGATGTGGAGGCCCCGGGTCACACGGGTCACGTCGTTTTCTTCCACTCTGTCACACGGCCTTATTTTAATATTAGTACATTTCCTTTCAAAAAATTTATTTTTACTTATTTATATAGACTGGGGAAGAGAGGGAGAAAGGGAGAGAGAGAAACATCGATGTTCAAGAGAAACATCCCTCGATTGCCTCTCACAGGCCCCCAACCGGGGACCTGGCCCGAAACCCAGCAGGTCGGGTGTGTGTCCTGGCCAGGAATCGAACCGGCGACCTTTCCCTTTGCGGGAGGACACACAACCCCTGGGCCACACTGGTCAGGGCTAACATTAGTACATTTTTCAATTATAAATATAGAGCACACCTATCAGAAGCATTTTAAGTGGCTCAGAAATATGCACAATTTAAAAATGAGGCTTCTACACCCCCCACCATCCCCACTGTGGCCCTGGGCCAGCCTCTGAGGTGACCACTGGTGGCAGCCCGCCCTACACGTCCTACGTGGGTACAGTCGCACGTACATCTGCTTTTCAAAACCTAAAGCTACGACTTAGGCACTCTCCCCTGCGACCTGCCGTCTCAGCAAGCGTGGACCTCTCTCTGCGAGTCCACGTCCATCCTCGGCCTCCGCCCGGGGCCGGCCAGGGCTGCGCTCTGTTCCTGTTCTGTAATGCTGCCCACGCTACCTTCTGAGGCAGGCCATTTTGGTGTGGCCAGTTCTTAATTTCCTTTTAATAAGAGCACTCCCAGTGTCTTCATTTAATGCATTTTTTTAAAAAAGTGGAATCCTTTTTGTGACAGCTTCTAGTGACGGTTCACTTTACCCCAAAAACATGATTGTGCTTTCATGTTTGGGACGCCATCGGCGAGGTAAAACGAAGATGAGAATGTCCCGGTCGCTTCCATGCGGACCTCAGCGTCGCAGAGCGGGACACGGGGAGGGGCTTGGCGGGCGGGGGGAGCAGAGCCTTGAATTTTGCCGGTTCCCCGCCATGTCGGCACCCGAGGCTTGCCACGGGGAGGGGAGGTCAGAGCCCGTTCCCGCAGCTCTGGTTTGTCCCTCCTCCTCTCGCCCGTTTCTTGTCCACTCGAGGGAACATCTGAGTGGAAACGTGGGTTTCTGTGGAATCACCCGCTCGGGGGACATTAGCCAACACTCAGCACTGTGGAAGTGTGGGGCTCCGGTGCCAAAGTGCATGCTTGAGTTTCTAGGAAAGTTCGCTCGCTTTGATTGGAAGTGTCTGGAGGGCGGACCTGATGACCTTCGCCCCCTGGTGAGCGAAAACAAAGGCTTCCCTGGCTCGCTGGGTGAGCCTCCCCCATGCTGTGGGGCAGCTGGCTGTCCCGCCCGAGGGTCCCCGTCTCTAACCAGATCCAGCATCCCCGACCACGCTGGCAGGAAGGCGTCTTTCTGCCTGGTGGCTCGTGAAACCTCTTCTGACATCTCTCTCTAGACACTTGTCCAGGGCTGGCTTTGAGGCAGGGGATGGCCAGGAGGTTTGGGGGGCTGGTGACAGCCGCTGGTAGCATTGGAAAAACCTTGGCCAGGGCCATGGTGCCCCGTGCGATCCTCCTCTCTCACACTTCTGAGGGGAAGGGCGATTGTTTCTGGGTTCCTGGCTGAGCTGTGCCCTGCGTCCACAGAAACCATGCTGCCCCGGAGGGGACTCTGGTGACGGTGGTCTGATGGCACTCGTCCTACGGCAGACCCACACAGCACCCCAGGGCCAGCCGCCAGAGCAAGGAGGCTCTGGGCTCTTATCTCCACACACCACACACAGAGCAGCCCAGCAGCCACTCCATAGGGCCGCCGGCACCCAGAGATGTAAGCAGGCACCCCCTAGTTAGTTTTCTTTTTGTTTTATTTTTGACTGCTGGGAGATTTTTTTGCTTGTTTGATGTAGCAAGATGTATTTGTTCCCCCCACCGTCCTCACCCCCCTGCCCCCCGGGGGGGCCCTTTTATGCCCTCTATGCTTAGGCAGTTTTTCATAGATACTGTTTTCAGTGTCTTACAGTTTCACCGTTGAATGTTGAACTTCTGCCCAGTGGGACTGGGCTGAGAGGATGCTCAGCCTCCCCGTTTCCCCGGAGGCAGCCCGCTTCCTAGCTCCCCCATCGGGTGACACTGCTCGGGGCAGAGCAGTGTTGGATCCCACCTGGACCCCGGTGGCACCTGGACTGGGCTGCCTGTCCTTGCGAGGGACACTTTCTGGGTGTGACTTGGGTGGCATAACTCCTAGTGGGATGCCTTTCCTCTTCTAGAGAGAATTTACACCTTTGATTGTATTTTTTTGTTTGTTTGTTTTTAGAGAAGGGAAGGGAGGGAGAGAGGGAGAGAAACATCAATTTCTCAATGGTTGCCTCTTTTATACCCTCCTCCTGGGGACCTGGCCCTCATCCCAGGCATGTGCCCTGCCTTGGGAATTGAACCAGCAACCATTTGGTTCCCAGGTCATCACTCAATCCACTGAGCCACACCAGCCAGGGCAAATGTATGTCTTTATATTCAGCCTTTCCATCCAGGAATAAAGTAACTTTCTTTCTTTACTCAAGTCGCCTTTTCTATCTCTTGGAAAGGTTTCATACTTTTTTTTTCATACTTTATATGTCCTGTGAAAGTTTTTTCTCAGTTTAATCCTGAATATTTTCCATTCTCATCACTGTGATCGGGGTCTCTCCGGTGTGCAGGAAGCTGCTGGTATTTGGCTAGCTGCTTGTCTGATGTCCAAGAGTTGTCCACTTCTATCTCTTTGTGATTCTAGCTGCTTTCCCATTGGGTAGACAATCATATCCTTGAAAATAATGAAAACTTGGCCTCTTCATCTGTGGTAGCTGCACACTCTCCCTTCTGGTGGGGCCTATGGTGTTCCTGAAGTTTCCACAACAGACGTAAACAGCAGTGGTGTCCGTAGCTCCGTGGCAGCCTGACTTTGCTCGTCCTTTTTTCTTGGCTGTGTCACGGAGGCCATTGTCCCCGTGGCTCTGTGTTTCCACCTCTGCCTGACAGCCTGCTTTTCCACCCCCCACCCCCCCTTGGGACGCTCTCCCCGCCCCTGTGCCCGCCCACTGCTCACCGGCCAGGCTTCCTGGCTCAGGCAGCCTTTGGGGAGCGGGCCAAGTGGCGAGTCCTCCCTGGGAATGACCAGGCCCTCCTCTCCGGGCCCGCGGCCTGGGGTTTGGGGTTTTGCCGACCGCGCATGCCCGGTGCGGCCCTACTCGCTCATTCTCTCGTGTGAGTTTGCAGGTTCCCAGAGGCTGAGGCTGGACTTTGCGGCAGCTCCCCTCCCCCACTCCTGAACAGACAAGGAAGGCCCTTGTCCTTCCTTAGACATTTTGTTCTAAAGCTGAAAAGTCCCCTGTACGTGGCTCTGGCGTCCAAACCTATAATCCAAGGCTGGCCTTGTGGTCCTCGGAGAGGCTGAGCACGGGAGGGCTGGCCAGCCGGGGCAAAGGGCTGTGGGCCTCCAGGGAGCCCAGGCCCCCGCTGGCCGTGCTCCATGCCTCCTCGACCCCCGCCCCCTGCCCCTGGCCCGTGTCCCAGTCAGCCTCAGCTCGGGGAACGCCTCAAAGGGAGCCCAGTGAGCCACCATCTTCTGCTTGGCGTCTGGACACAATAAGGCGCCCGTGCCTCGCCTGGGTGCCGGCGCCCTCTGTCCTCCCCGCGTCTCCCCTCTGAGTCTCCCCTCTGACGGCCCCACTGCCCCGAGCTTTCTCCCTGTGTGTGGTGAGGGCTGTCCTCCAGCAGGGAGGTGTGGGGTCCCAGTGGGGACGGACGCAGGCGCTCGCCAGGAGAGTCCGGTGCCTGGCGCTGTGCCAAGCACCGCGGGCAAGGTGGTCACTGAGCCTGGCTCAGCCCTGAGGCAGGAGCTGTGAACACACCCGTTTGTTTGTTTGTTTTTAAGATTTTATTTATTTTCAGAGTGGGAAGGGAGGGAGAAAGAAAGAGAGAGAGAAATATGAATGTGTGGTTGCTGGGGGCCGTGGCCTGCAACCCAGGCATGTACCCTGACTGGGAATCGAACCTGCGACACTTTGGTTCGCAGCCTGCACTCAATCCACTGAGCTGCGCCAGCCAGGGCTAGCACACCCGTTTTATAGACGGAACAACTGGGGCTGAGAGAGGGGGAGTGACGCGCTCAAGGTAACAGCCAGAAAAGCAGCGCCACGGTCCAAACCCGGGCCCTCTGGCTAGAAGCCAGGGCTTCTGGGTCCTGGGGGACATTAGGGAAGTTGTGCGTGTGTGTGTGTGTGTGTGTGTGTGTGTGTGTGTGTGTGTGTGTGTTGGGTCACTCTAGCTCATTCCGATGAAGTTAGAAGCCAGGAGCCCCCCTCCTGGCTGGAAACTTTCTGAAATACCACACTAGCCCCTTCCCGGCACCCGTGACGTACACAGCTGGGCGTCGGCAAAGAGCTGAGTGTGGGGCGACGAGAGCCAGAGAGTCACCCCACGCGGCTTGGCCTCAGCCAGCCGCAGTGGTGCTCGCTGGCTTTCGGAGGCAGGCGGGCGCTGCGGTCAGCCACGCCCCGACAGACGGCCTCGCGGCTGCCCTGACGCTGGCTGGGACGCAGGCTGGGCGGTGTGTGGGCGTGTCCCCCCCACACCGGCGCATGCGCAACCGCGACCAGCCTTCCTTTCACGGTCCCGAAGTGCTTTTATACCCACTTCACCCGCCGGTCCCTCCGTAACCCCACGAAGTGCCCATCATCCGTCCCCTTGACAACTAAGGAGCTCGTGGGGCAGGCGGTGGTGAAGCAATTTCCTCAAATAATAAGTTGTTTCCAGATCTCGAGCCTCGGCCTCCCTAATCCCGGCGATCTCGGGGACTGATGGAGAGGCCTGCCACTGCCACGGCCATCAGCAGGGACCTCCTGGGGTCATTCTGGGGCACTGCGGGGACACACGTAGGAGGCAGCTGGAGGAGCATCAGCCCCGTCATCCCTGTTACTGTCCCCCGCAAAGGTCACCATACATAAATGAGAACAGTGTGCTTCTGTGCAAATGCAGCAATGAATTCCCAGGTGACTCCCCTGCACCCCCCAGCAGTTCCGTCACCTCTAAGTCCTTTTATGGGGAGCCTCTGGTCTCTGCTGCCTTGCTTAGGTTCCTGAAGCCTTCTTGTGTCGAGCCTGACCAGCTCGAGAAGGTCCTTTCAGCCTGGGCCCCTTCCCTGGGGCGACCTGTGGGGCAGAAGTGTGGGCAGGGCTGCTGTCCAGGGCCGCAGAAGCCTACGAAGGCGGGGCCTGTGGGCCCCTGTCCCAGCCTCTGGGAGGGAGTTGGAGCAGCACCCAGGGGCCTGTTCTGTGGGCTGTCTGCTCCCTAGACCCTTGGGCAGCCGTACTCCCCACTCCCCCCAGAATGGCCACCCTGGGCTCCCTCCTCCCACCTCTGAGCTCTCCCTAGTTGGGACACCTCCAAGGTCAGCCTCAGCCCTGGCCTTAATGACCGTCTTTGAGCAAACAGACACACTTTCTGGGGACGAGCAGGGCCCCTGCCAAAGCACAGGAGGGCGCCCAGAACCGACGGATTGATTCTGGTGGCGCCTCAGCGGGCGTGCTGTGTCCGTGGCCTCCGGCACTAGGGCACGGGTCCTGGGGACAAGCTGGCTTTGTGTCTGTCCAGGGCCCCTCCTTTCAGGAGTCCACAGACTCTCCCTGCGATTTGACAATCACTTTCCTCTCTGCTCTCACCTGGAGGACCAGGGGCATTGGCCTGGACAACATCCAGGGTCTGTCCACCTCCCTAGCTTTGATTTCCCAGCAGTGAGTAGGGATGGACATCATTGGCTCCAGGGAAGGGTTGCTGAGGGGCACTGCCCCTGGGGTTGGGGCCTGGCCTTTCAGGCCCATGTTCTCGGTGTTTTATTTTAAAGATTTTATTTATAGAGAGAGGGGAAGGGAGGGAGAAAGAGGGAGAGAAACATCAGCGTGCGGTTGTCTCTCACATGCCCCCCGACTGGGGACCTGGTCCTGCAACCCAGGCATGTGCACTGGCTGGGAATCGAACCGGTGACCCTTTGGTTCTCAGGCCCGCACTCAATCCACTGAGCTGCACCAGCTAGGACTCATTGGTTGCCCTTAACAACTAGTGATATGGATGGCAAGTGGCTTAGCGGGGCTGAATGACCTGTGCAGGGTCTCAGCCCGGGCCCAGGCTCCCCTCACAGCCCCCAGGCAGGGCAAGCAAGAGCAGGTGTCCCTCTGCAAGCAGCATCTTTTGGTCTTCGCCTCTAGGGAGCAGCCTGGGCTGGGCCCCAGGGGGCTGGGCTTTAGAATTAAAGGGCTGCCGGGACCCTGTGGGACTGTGCCTCTCCTACCGGCTCACTCTCAGAGTGCCTGAACAGCTTTGTACAGTGAGGGCGCCCAAGCCAAAGCCCAGCCCTCCTCTCTCGGAGTATCCAGGCGTCGGGCTGCCCAGGGGTGCAGGCTCCAATGGGGAGGGGACTGGTGCCCTGGGAGGAGTGATTCGGTTTGGGAATTGCAGGAGGCTCCAAGGAGGTAGACGCTCCGAGCCCCGTGACTATTCGTACCCCCGCCCCCAGGCCCTTGCCTGGTTTTTGCAGCTGCTTCGGACTCTGGAGAGGTCCCTGGGATGACCCAGCAGCTTTTCTCAACCCCCTTGGGGCCTGTGCCCCTGTGTGAGTTGTTTGGGTGTGCATTCACGCAGCAAACAGTTATTTAGTGACTGTTACCAGGGCTCTGGGTCAGCTTTCTCAGGTCCAGATCCCAGCTGGGTGGGCCCATTCTCATGTGGCCTTGACCCTGAGCCTCGACTTCACAAGTGTCAGCTTGTGGACTCTGGGAGGGCTACGTGAGCAGAGACCCGCATGCAGCGTGGAGACAGCACGCCCAGGCGGGGCCCAGGAAATGTTGGCCGCCATTAGCCGGAGCGACTGGGAGCCCAGAGGGCCGGAGGGGCCCAGGCTCAGGGGGCTCGGGGTGCAGATGGACAGCAGAGGGACAGAGGCCTCCTGAGTAGAGGGAGAGATGGCGGCTGCAGAGCAGGTGGGGGGTGGGGGCAGGCATGGGAGGCAGGGCCCTGGGGTGCCTCACACTGATGGTCTCTGCTCTCTCCTCAGTACGGCAAAAAGAAGCTGAAATACCTGCCCTACAACCACCAGCACGAGTACTTCTTCCTGAGTGAGTGCGGGGCGCCCAGCACCTCACCCCAGACCCCTCACTCCGGCTACTCTGTCCCACTGATACCCCTTCCCTGCGTGGGACGTGGGGTAGGGGGTTGTCCGCTCCCAGCCCCCTTGGTGGGCCCCTCTGAGCTGCAGGCCTGTGTGCTGGGCCCGCCTGCCCCGCTCTTGCAGCCTGGACCAGGGGGGACGGGGCGGACCGGGCGGGACAGGACACCTGTGAGCGCCTCTGCTCCGCTCTCCCCCACAGTCGGGCCGCCGCTGCTCATCCCCATGTACTTCCAGTACCAGATCATCATGACCATGATCGTCCGCAAAGACTGGGTGGTGAGTCAGGGGTGCGGCCGGCCAGGGGTGCGGGGAGTGGGGGGTCTGGGTGGGCGCCCCAGGGGCCTGCACCTACCCCGCTGTGCCCTGTGGGGCCCCAGGCCTCTCCTCCTAGAGTGGCTGCCTTATCACTCTCAGGAAGGGACCTGCTGTGAAGCTGCCAGGAGGTGGCAGGCCATTGCACCCCTCCCTGAAAGATCCCCCCACCCTGGGGAGCCACTGCCTTTGCAGAGCCCCCTCAGAAAGTTCCTGAAGGCCATGTGATCGGAGCTGAACTCGGCCCACGCACCCTCAGCTCTGCTGCAGCCATTGCCCCCTTGTGTCCCGTGCGGGTGCTAAGACCCACGAACCAGGGCACTCAGGTTTGTGAATAGAGCGCAGCCCGGTGGTGGTCGAGACGGCAGGTGTGTTGATTTGCTGAGGCCGCACAGCGAAGCGCCACAGGCCGCGTGGCAGCTCTGTTAGCAGCAGGACTGTACTATCTCCCGGTCCGGGGGGGCTGGAAGGCCAAGGCTGAGGTGTGACCGCGTCGGTCCTTCTGGGGCATGAGGAAGGGTCTGGTTGGACCTCTCTCCTTGGCCGGTGGACGGCCGCCACCCTCTCCGTGTGTCTCTTCATATCATCTTCCCCGTGCGTGTGTCTCTGTCTGGGCCCAAACGTCCGCCTTTTTGTGAGGACCCTGGTCATAGTGAACTGGGGCCGTCCCTAATAACCTCATTCTAATTGATTCTAATTGACTGCGTCTGTGGCGATCCTGACTCCAGGTCAGGCCACATTGGGAGGTCCTGGGGGTCAGGGCTTCTACTCAGGCATTTTAGGGGACACACTGCATACAGCCCGCAACACGGGGCTGGAGGGAATCTCCGGATTCTCCCCCCAGAGAGAGGAAGGGGCCCTGGAGAGGGGCCGACCTCGGCTCGGTGGGGCCGTGTAGGAAAACACGCCCCCGGAGAAAAGATCGGGGAAGGGGCGGTCCGGGTCAGCAGAGCCTACTTTTGGCAGAGCTGGTCTCGGTGGGACAGAGAGAGGGCCCCGCTCTCCACAGAGTCCTACGTAGGTATTGCTGGTCTCTCTTAACTCAGTTTCATCAGTGAAAACATTGAGACCGAGCCTCTGGGACTCGCCCCAGCTGACACCCTGGGGCTGCGGGCGGAGCTCTAGAACCCAGGTCTCCTGATTCCATGCCCCGGACCCTCCCCCCGACACTTCAGCCACCAGCCTCTGAAATAACAGTACCTTGTACCTGCCTAGTGTTTGAAGGGCCTCAAAAAAAGTTTGTCTTACGTCCTCCCATTGAATGTGCGGGCAGAGGGGCCATGGCCATGGGTCCTGCGAGAGAGGCCCAGGACTGGCCTCAGGAGCAGGTGCAGTGGCCGGGGGCTTGGCAGGACCCTGGAAGTCCCTGCCAGCCCTGTGCTGGTGGAACCTGTACAGCTAACTCACTTCTAAGATCGGCTCGTGCCCCCAAAGCGAGCACCTCGGCAGTACCCATGGTGTGCTGGAAGCAGCAGCTGAGTGCTTCCACCTACGCCGTGTCATTTGACCCTGTTTTATGAGCCAGGGAGGAGTGGAATTTCTGGATCGGGTCAGCGATAAGGATTTGAACCCAGACCTCCTCCTACGTAGAGCACCGTTTGCCCCAGCGCACCTGGGCTCTGGAGGGAGTCCCGGCCGGGAGGCATGACAGCCCAGCTGTGCTGGGTCAGGCTGAGCTGCCAGAGGCGTTTTATCTCCTTTCACAGCAGATGACTCCTGACATGAATATTTCATCTTGTTTTTATTTTCCCTGTTTGTGCCCCAAGGAACAAAGCAATTAAACAGGAACAGCAGGAGAGGAAATTAGACCACGTACCTGAACAGGATCAGATGGCAGAGCCAGGGACATTTGCGAGGGCCTGCTGGCCTTTTCAAGGGCTTGCCGTGCGGTGGGGGGTCTGCATGGCCCCATGGCCCTGCTCTGGCGCCTGCCGGGAACTAGGGTTCAGGCCCATCCGCAGGGCGCCCTCCTGCCTGCTCCCAGCCTGGGTGTCTGAGATTCACAGTGGAGCTCGTTGCAGCTGTGACCCAGGGCAGAGGTCCTCCGCGTGGCCCGTTGTGATTGTCACAACTCAGGGTGGTGGAGCAAGGGGGCCGCAGTGGTATCTCCGGCATCCAGTGGGCAGGCACCGAGCCAGGGAGGCGGCCGAAGGTCCTCATATCCTACCGTGCCAGGACTGCCGCCTTCAACTAAGAATTACCAGCCTCAGCGCCGACAGTAGTGGAGGCGGAGGAAGACGCCGAGGAGGGAGGTTTTTACTACTGGCGGTGATGCCAGTGGCCACCTTCTGGGGACGCTTCTCAGGCCCCTCCTTGGAGAGAAGGGCCCACGGGATCGGACAGCGCCACCAGCTCCCTCCTGAAATTGTACCTGTCGGCTTCCAAGCCCCCCTCCCCCGCCACGAAGGTCCTCTCCCACCTCTCTGTGATGCCGCACAGCTCCAGCACCCCCTGCCCCTAAAACAGTGGCGTGGTAGTCCTGTATCCCTCCGCGGGAAAACAGAGGTGAGCACGCGCCACCGTTAACACACAGGTGCTCACCGCTGTGCCACAGACACACAAAGACGATGTGAAAGGGAATGTGATGAAAAGGAAGGGCGAACTTGTAATATTTGCTCCCTCCGCCTCTTAAAGACCGCCTTGTCGGCCCCCGGGTGTTGCCCTGCGCTCACTGCGGGCCTTCCCAACGCTCCGCGGCGGCTTCCCAGCCGCTTTCCTCCCCCTTTTCTCACGGAGATGCAGCGGTCCCCACATGCAGCTGCCTCTGCCTCCCTAGTAGAACGGGAGTCCCGTACTTGCTTGTGGGTGCTGCGGGCCCTGGGGCAGGGACGGGGGCGTCATTGCATGCCTGAGCTGAGGTAGTAACCTAGTCTCTGTACCTGTGGTTGGCGGAGGTCTGTTTTAAACCCAGATGTAGCGTGTTCGTCTGTCGTTTCAAGTTCCCAGGGGTTCCCCACTGCCGGTGAGGTAGAGGTCGGCCTCCTCAGCTGCACGTGACCTGGCGTGGTCTTCTGCCCCCTGCCTTGGCCCGGAGAGTAGGGGACATGCAATCTGTATGGAAACAGCTCCTGCCCGCCGCCCGCCTCCCCAGCACACACCCTGGGCAGGCTCGCCTGTCTGGGCTTTTTGTATCCTTGCCTCTTCTGCCAACCTCCTTCCTATTGTTCTTGGCGTGGCAGACCTCTGGGGGGGCCCCTCCCAGCTCAGGCACCACCTCCTAAAGGAGGCCTATCCAGGGCAGCGTGGGGGGGGTCCCCGACCATCCGGTTTCCTTTGTGCCCTGCCTCAACCACCTGTCCCCTTCTGTGGATAATGGAAGGAATCTCTTTCTAGCCCTGTCCTTGCAGACTCGGGGCTTCTGACTGAGCTTTTGCTCCCGGCACCTAATTTAGCCTCTGACACAGAGAAGGCTTTTGCTGAGTGTTTGTGGAGCTACACTGGACAGAGCTGGCCTGAAGGATGAGTGTGCTGAGCAGATAAGGGAGGAGGGAGCCTGCGGGCAGGGACAGCTGGGACACTAGCATTGCAGCAAACCTGAGCACACCTGCGGGGGCGCACGTAGGTCAGGAGACGGGCGGCTGGTGAGGCGGGGTCAGCGCGCAGGTGTGTGAGGGCTCGGGCGTCCTGCCCCGGGGCCGGGTGTTACCCCTTGTCCCCTGGCAGGGAAGGAGACCAGGGGTGGCTCTGAGGACGGCGGTGGCCTGATCCCGTCTGCACGTCAGAAACATCCGTGTCCAAGGAGGGAGCACCGTGGGGCAGGGTTTGGACTGGGGTCCCGGGAGCTCCCGCTGCAGACTTCACGTGCTGCCACAGCACACACCGGAGCCACGTGGAACCTCAGTGGGAGCCCTCTGCCCGCCCTGCAGAGCGGGGGCCCGGGCACAGTGACAAGAACCACTGACAGCCACACAGGAGCCAGCGGTGGGGCTGGAGTTAGCGCAGGCAGCCCGAGCCCAGGGCCTCTGATCGCCCCCCTGCCCAGGGTCCCGGGAGGAGACATGACAGGGGACCCGGCCCCTGTGTGCGCATTCCTGGCAGCGCACAGTCAGTGCAGAGGCCCAGAGCTGGGGAAGGAGAGAGGCGGGTGCCTGGCCCTTCGGAACGGCGTGGGCTGCTCTGGGCAGGGTGGGAGGCTTAGCAGGGGAGAGGTGGAGTTCGCTTGGTGTCAGGAAGGCCGCTCCGCCACGGGGGCACGAGGGAGAGCCAGAGGCCGGTGGGCGGCTCCTGCTGTGGTCCGGCGGACGCGGGTGGCAGGCAGGAGGCAGAGTGCCTGCCCGCCCTGAGGTGGGGGCAGGTGGTGCTCTGGCCTTCGCCCTCCTGCTTCGTGCTGAGTGAGCGTGGGGGAAGGGTGACGAGCCCGCCAGGTGTCCGCGGGCAGTGCGCACTGTCAGAGTCCCCGGGACCGCAAAAGGGCCACTGACCTCCAGCCCCTCCCCGTGGGTGCTCCTTGGCTGGTGTCCCCGGGTCCCCACCCCTGTTTGTCTCCCTGAAATCAGAGCACGCAGCTCCCTTCCTGCTGCCAAACCCTCAGCACGTCTCCAGAAACAAAGACAGTCTCGCAAACCCTGCTGCCCAGCGCACCTGGTGCCCGTGGGTGTTTCTTGCACACCTGTGCCTCGTGGGGCATGGGAGGCGCTGTGTACACACCCGTGGTCAGGACACAGTGCCAGGGGGCACGGGGCCATCCCACATCCAACGTGTTTCTCTTGGCAGGACCTGGCCTGGGCCATCAGCTACTACATCCGCTTCTTCGTCACCTACATCCCTTTCTATGGCGTCCTGGGAGCAGTCCTTTTCCTCAACTTCATCAGGTGCCTGAGCTCCGCTGGCCAATCCCTGGTCCCCCGAGCACGGGTGCCTGCTCACCAGAGCTTTGATGAGAGGGAGCATGAGGAAAGGCTCTGAGGTCCCCACTGCCCGCCCTGGGCCTAGGTCCTGGCGCCTCAGCTTGCCCCCTACACCCGCCCTCAGCTGCTGGGGGTTGGGAGGGGGAGCTGTTCCCACTGTGGCAGGGTCCCCCGCCGACAGCAGGGCGGCCAGGGCCCCGGCACTGAGTGGCACTCTCCCCCAGGTTCCTGGAGAGCCACTGGTTCGTGTGGGTCACACAGATGAACCACCTTGTCATGGAGATTGACCGAGAGCCCTACCGTGACTGGTTCAGCAGCCAGGTGAGGCGGCCGGGGCCCTCGGTCCGTGTCCTCGGCCGCCGGAAACGTGGCTGCCCCGTGGACCCAGACTGAGCTGGGCTCCCCAGGGGGCTGCCTGTGTCCTGCTGGCTGGCGCAGGGCTAAGCAGCAAAGGTGGCAGGGCTCTTCTGGAGGGTCCGGGGGCGGGGGGTGGGGAACCCAGGGGGGCGAGGACTCTAAGCAGAATAGTGTGACGTGGAAGCACGGCCCTGAGACCACGGGCAAGGCTGGCCTCGTGGGAAGGAGACGACGGTTCTTCACTCCCGGCCACTCGTCCCTCTTCCCTGACAGCTGGCAGCCACCTGCAATGTGGAGCAGTCCTTCTTCAACGACTGGTTCAGCGGGCACCTCAACTTCCAGATCGAGCACCAGTGAGCGCAGGCGCGGGTGGGGCTGGGGACCGGCGGGGCACACGCAGTGGGAGGGAAGTGGCTGCCAGCCCCATCCGGGCAGAGAGCAGCTCTGGGGAGCTCCCAGTCTCTCCGCCCCGGTGAGATCTCCCCGTTCACCCCCCCTGCCCTAGAGCACGCTCCACAGCCAGCCCCACGGAGGCCGGGGTCGGGGAGGGGCTCCCTGTGCCACGCTGTCAAAGAAACAGCCCCCCCACAATGTGTGGCGGGAGCTTTGTAGTTGCAGAGAGCTGACACCAGCACCTCCCTCGGTCCCGTGAGCTGGGCAGGGCGGTCGGTCCCGTGTCATTGGCGGGGACGCGGAGACCCAGCGAGGCTAGCTAGCTTGCCCGGAGCTGAGAGGCTGAGGGGCTGCCCCTCAGGCTGCCGCCACCCCTGCTGTCCCTCGTCCTCTCCTGCCCCCTGGCCCCTGTTCCTTTGCCTTTCCACCCCCATTTTCTTTTTAGGAAGCTGTGTTCTGTCTCTAGTCATCAGATTTCTTTCCAGTGCCCAGAGCACAAACAGAGCCGGCCCCAGGCAGCCTCCCTGCCACATGCCAGCCGCCCCAGCGGGCACACGGGGAGAGCTGCAGACAGGGACCCTGGGGCCCCGCCGGCCTCTGTGGGCTGAGGGAGGCGGTGGGGGCGCCCTCACACTCCGCACCCCGCCCTCTCTACAGCCTCTTCCCCACCATGCCCCGGCACAACTTCCACAAGGTGGCCCCGCTGGTGAAGTCCCTGTGCGCCAAGCACGGCATCCGGTACCAGGAGAAGCCGCTGCTGAGGGCCTTGCAGGACATCGTCGGGTGAGGGGGAGCCCCTGGGCGCTGGGGTCCCTGAGCCCCGGGGCACGAGGCGAGGACAGAGTGGCACATGCCTAGGACCGCCCGTGGTGGAGATGGTGGCAGCCCCAAGAGGGGCCGAGCCCTGCCGGCACAGGCCCCACCAGGCCACCTCCTCACCAGCAACTGCCTGGCTTCTCTCTCTGGGCCAGATGAGGGTCTTCCTTCCCCTTGTCCTGCCCCAGACGGTCCCCTGGGAGCCCCAAGGAGGCAGCCCTGCACCCCCAGGGTGGCTTCCCCGCCCCACCCACTCCCTAGGGCCCCCTGGCTCCTCGCCGGGCCCCTGACTGTCCCCGCCCTGCTTTCTTCCCAGGTCCCTGAAGAAGTCCGGGGAGCTCTGGCTGGATGCCTACCTGCACAAATGAAGCCGTAGCGCCTGGGTGCCCACGGGGGAGGGGGAGCAGGTGGCGATGATGGCCAAAGGGAGGGGTGGGTTTTTGTCCTGAGGGGTGTCCACAAGGCTGGGGTACATGCAGTTCACTGATCCCATTTTGGGTCTTTCTCCTGGTTCCCTCTCAATTTTTCTTTCACTTCGACCTCCAGTACCCATTCTGGGGCCTGCCTTCCGTCAGTCCCTCCCCACCGGGAGCGGAGAGACTCGGGGATCCGTACCGCCTCCACCCTCTGACCCTAAACGTCTGCTGGATGAGAGGTCCAGAGATGCATTTGGCCCCCCCGCAGCAGCCTGGCCGTCGGGCCTCATACTCCCTCCATTCTCCCTCAGCCCCGTGTCCAGTCCGAGGCGCCGGGTCACTGTGGCCCCCTGACCCTGCAGGCCCGGCTCCGCCCTCCGACAGCGCCCACGGCCTGCCCTTTGTAAAGAGAGGCTCTGTGATTCCGGGCTGCCACCAGCTCCGCCCTCCGGCTCAGGAAAATGTCCTCCTCACTCCACTGGAGCCCTCTGACCAGGGCTTGGGCACGTCCGTCCCTCCACCTCCCACCCTCTTCCCACCTCCAGAGCCGCGACCTTGGGTCCAGGGGGGCCGTCCTGCGGGGGCGGGGGGGCGGACTCTGCAGAGGCTGGGGCCCAGGCCAGGGTCTGGAGTCTCAGCCCCAGCGCCCACCCCCACCCAGATGTCTGTCCTGGCTGGGACGCTCCGATTCAGGGGCACTCCAACCTTTCTCCAAAGTGGTCTGTGGCCTGCCGGGCAGCCCTGTCTGCCGCGTTCTCACGTCTTCTACTGTTTTTTTAACCTTTTGCTACAGGATACATTCTGATGGGCTGGCGCTGGGGCTGGCGCTGGGGCTGGGGTTGACAGTCTGCTTTTGCCCACCCGCCCCTCGAGGCCTCCCGGGGCCGTGCTGTGGGTTGAGCTGGGCTTGCTCACGGAGGCCGTGGTGGCCGGCCTGTCACTGCCAGGGCCACCACTGTGGGGAGGGCGGTGGGGCAGAGAGGGAGGGAGCCCCAGAGGCGACTCCGAGGAGCCAGGGGACTGGGGGGGAACCTGAAGGGGGCCACATGGGAAGTGCAGGTGAGAGGAGTTTGGGGCCGGAGGCCAGGGGCCGAGGGGACAGGAGAGTGGGGGTGGGAGGGCAGCCCGCCACCCTGGCCAGGGATCCAGAGCTACTGCGTTTGGAAACCTAACCCACTAACCAATACTCCGCACTGAGGCAGCAGCACAGGGCAGGGCCAGGCTCAGAGTGGGGGCCCTTGGAGGAGGGTGTCTCGTCCACCAGCTCTGGCCAGCCAGGAGGTACCAGCGTCCACTGCGGCAGACCTTCGCGTTTCCGTGGCAACGGGGGCCTGCCAGAGGCCCTGCTGCTGAGAATACGCAGGCCCAAGGAGCTGTGTCCCTCCCGAGGCTGATGGATTCTTAGGGGACTGATCTTAATTTCTATCTTGTTGCTCCCCCAGCCCTATGTTTTTTGGAAATAAGAGAAGTAATTTTATTCTTACGTCCTTGCTGAGTGGACCGCCTTGTTCTCCTTCCTGCTGAGGCTGGGGGTGGGGGTGGGGGGACGGCGCTGGGTTGAGGCCAGGGCTGTGCGTGGAGAGGAGGGGAGCCCACGTCCGCAGCCCTTCTCCTCTGCCGCCTCCTCGCCTGTGGCCACCCTACCCCTGCCGCCGCTGCTCAGGAGCTTCCTCCCCGCCCCCTGAAGTGCGCTCCAGGCCGGGAACTTTGGGCAATTGACCCAGATACATTGTCCCGCCTTCCTCCTGGCAGCTCAGGGAAACCCAACTCCAAACCCCCCAGGAGCTGCACCAGTACTCCAGGGAGGTGACGCAAGGGCAGCCAGGAGGGGCCACGGCTCTGACCGGACCCCCATCTCTGTCTTCATTCTGGGACCAGCTGCGTGCCCCTAGCCTCTCGTTCATTGGCTGCTACTGCCTCCCTTTTGCCCGCTTCTTGGTCAACGCACAGCCCTGGGAGCAAAGGGAATCTCAGAGGAAAGGCCCGGAGACCAAGGCTTCCATCTGCAGCCTGGGGGCCCCTGGGCCGGCTCCCTCGGTCCCCTCAGTGCGGGGGAGCCCACACCACCCCAGGCCCCCACGACTCACCAGTTCGCAGGCAGTGTCATGGAGACGATCCGAGGCAGCAGTCCCGCAGGTGGGCTCTGGACCACTGAGCCTGGGAAGAGTCCAAGGGAACGCACCGGGGCGCTGGCAGTGGCCCCATGCTGCTCTGCGACCACCTGCCCCTGATGGCTCGGCGGGCAGGGCGAACTAGGTGAGTGGTGGAAGGGCAAGAGGGTCAGCGTGGTCTGTGCCTCAGGGGCTCCCCACCGGGCCTTGCCTCTTGCTCCAGCCCCAGAGTAGGCCCTTGTCCCCCTCTTGTTTGGCCTCAGTATACCTGGAAGGGATAGCCAGGTGCCTCGGGTGCGATATGTGTGATTCTCCAGTGGGTGCAGGGACTCGAGTCGGACCAAGGAGCAGAAGCAGCCTGAGCCAGGCCAGAGACCCACTCCGGCTTGCTGAGTGGCCTTGGGCAAGTCCTTTGGCCCTCTGGGCCAGTGTCCCCATTTGTACAACGAAGGGATTGAGCCACAGCCCCTGGGGTGCTGTCCTGTCAACACCTGTGAACCCTTGGCCTTGCCTTCCTGCAGACCTACTGGAGGCCCCCAAGCCCAGGAACCTGAGAACTGACAGGCTAGGCAGACGCGGTGCCTGTGAAGGCACCAGGCAAATCTCGACTCAGGTTGGGAGGCACCTGCATCTTCTTGGTGATTTCTGTCTCCCAACCTCGCCCCGAAGTGTTACCCTTGGGTCAAAAAGCTGGGGATACCCACACGCACTCAGCTGCCCCTCCTGTCCCCACACTTCAATGACACTTGCTCCACACACAGAATGGTGGGGCTCTGGTCCTCACCCCCTGTCAAAGTTGTGACACCCTAACATGTAAGACCCCAAGTGACCACAAGACCTGAAGCTTCCACTCACAGGACGCTGAGACTGGAGGGGAAAGGACTGGCTCAAGGCCACTCGGGGACAGCGGCTGGATCGGGGCAAGGACGTGGGGTGCTGACTCCTCACCCAGCACTGCGGGAGAAAAGTGTGTCAGTGTCGGGGGCGTGGGCCTGTGCAGGGTGCCAGGCCTCGTCAGGGCTTGCAGACCAGCCTGGGCTGTGTGTGGACCTGGTGGCTGGTGGCCTGGCAGGTTCCTCTGGCATCAGTGGGACACTCAGAAGCCCTCTGGGCCCATTGGCAGGAAAGGAGGCATTTGGGGAGAAGGGGCAGGGCGGAGGGGGCAGCCACCTGGGCTGGGCTCCATCTGCCACTGCTCAGGTGACAGCCTTGGACCCATCGAGATTCCTCAGCTGCCCCAGGTGCACCTTCCCCAGCGAGGTCTGCCCCCTCTGGACAGGACTCAGCCTCTCGAAGAGCCCCTGGTCCCACGCCTGCGATGGATGTGATATGTTGTGGGTCCCAGGGGCGCTTACAACCATCCGAAGACATGGAGGCCCGGAGTGGGGAGGCAGCGCCCCTCGGGAACGGGGGTGCTCTTCTGTCCACACTTTATGTTTCTAACCCAACTGGCCGCACAGAAAGCAGAACAGGCAGCCGCCCAGCTGCGTGATTTAAAGTTCATGTCTCTCCTGTCCACCGCCATGACTGTTTCTTTCAATTTTGAAGACATTTAGATCTTCCCTCCAAATCATCTGGTTCAGGAGCCAGTACCCTAGTCACAGGCACCGGGGGCTTGGGAAGGGCCAAGTTGACCAGGGCAGCCTAGTGCCCCCAGGGTGCGAGTGTGGGGAAGGGTGTGGGGAAAAGACCCGTGAAGGAGCCATGACCTGCCCTGTCACAAAGAAGTTCGTTTGTCGCCTCTACCAGTCCCTCCAGACCGGTCCTTGTGATCTGCGTTGCCACCAGCAGCCGGGGGCAGCCCACAGGAGACTTAGTGGAGCCATGGCTTCTTCCCTGGGCAGGTTTGGGTTTCTTAGGGTCCCGACACTGTGCAGACCATAACGCAGGGACACGGGGTTTCTTAGAGGCGCTCCCCAGACCCTTTCCTCTGCCGGTTACAAAGCCGGCACAGGTGTGCTAAGTTCCTGCTCCCTGACTGCCTAGGAAACCTACAGCTAGATGAGGGAGAGTTCAGCTCATGAGAAAGGGGGTGACCTGTCCCCCAGGGGCCCTAGCATGGGAGACAGAGTGGGACAAGGACAAAGATGACCAGCCCGTGGGGAATTTTATGCAATGAAGAGATAGCTGGGGGTGGCTACTTGAGGCCAGAGGGCCTCTCCAAGTGTTTTTGAAACAAGTTACTAGGCAACTACTCATTTGCAGACGAAGGGTGCACTGTCCATGGCTACCACCAGGGGCAGCATGGAGCATGGCCTGCCTCGCAGTGGTGCAATACTCCGGGTGACCTCCGAGTGGCGCTGCAGGCTCAGCATTCGCTCTGGGTGGGGACGTGCTGCCCTGGGGTCCAGAATGTTAGTATCTCCCCTACAAAGGCATCAAAGCCAGTGCAGGAAATGTACTGACCATCTGCACAGGCAGGGGATAGAGGGAATGCCATCCAAGGGCCCACGAGGCATCAGGAGTCAGCAGGCTTTCCACTGGTGGACACTGGAAGGGGGACTCCTGGCAGAGGGAACAGCCTATGTAGGGGCCCTGAGTGTCGGTCTTGCCCTGGACGTAAGGAATTTGCTCTCAAGATAGAAACACCTTTCAAAGAGCAAACAAGCTGGGAAACAACCAAGGACTTGTCCCAAGCCAGAGCAGGTGACGTCCCAGGACTTGGAACTTGTGTGCATAAAATATGTAAATACATTTCTGAGCTCTGTTGCTAGGCCCTATTGCCAAGAGCCTTCCACGAAACCCTTTTTATCTTCCATCACCATGGGAGGTCATACTCCCCTCAGAGAGGTCAAATAACTTCCCCAAGGTCACACAGCCTTGCGTCCTGACAGAAGCAAGCCTTACCCCGTGGCCTGCCGGGCCCCAGAGAAGAGGGGCAGCCAGGTGGAATGCATCAGGGCGGGGCGGAGTGGTCCCAGGAAGGGCTGAGCAAGAACGGCAGTAACTGCGCGCCTTCTGCTTTCTGAAGGACCTCCAGCCCAGGGCCATGGGGGCCCTAACAAAGAGTGGGGGGCACTCCTGTGGCTAGCGGGGAGACTCCGGCCCCCATGCCAGAAAGGCCCTCCGATACGCTAGCTCAGCATTTCCGTGTTTATTGGAAATTCCTCACACTTCTTCAAATGGGACCTTCACCCCAGCTTGACACTGCTGGTGTGTGGGTACTGGCCTCCCCGGGGTCCAGCAGCCCAGCCCTCCCGCCCTCCCCTCCCCTTCAGGAAGCCCCAAGGGACAACGGATAGCCCCCCCACAGAACTGTCAGGGCCTGAGGCCCGAGGCCAACCGTGCCCATTTTCCAGATGAGGAGCCTAGGGCTTGGGGAAGGGCAGTGCCTGCCTGAGGACACGGGCGAGCCAGGGCTCCAGGGACAGGAACGGCCACTTCTCAGCCACCCAGCTCAGTCACCACAGTGACTGCAGGCGGGCACCTGGCTCCAGGCAGGCACGGGGAGAGCCTGGGGGGGACTGAGTGCAGTCAAGCTGCGCCCCCGCTGGTGCAGTGACCAGTGTGATGCTGAGACAGGCAGGTGGCCCGCTGCCCACGGCCCTCTGAGGCCCCTGGTCACAGAGGCTGTGGGAGGAGCCTGGTGCAGGTGGAGGACATACTGGCTTCCCCCTCCTGTGCTGTGGGGCCACCTGCAGACGTGGCTCTCGGCCCTGGGCCCTCACCTGCTACACCTGCCCCGTCCCACTGGGCCCAGGAGTAAAGCGAGGCGAGCCCATGTCAGCACCCGAGGCTGCTGGTGACTGGGCGAAAAACAGGAAGCGACAAGGCAGGCCCTCGGTGGATGTGACCCAGAGCACAGGGGAACTCCAAATACCACCATCCACCCATCCCCCACCCCCAACACCCGAATGGCCCAAGGGCCTGAACTCTTGTGGATCTCAGCAGACTCCAGCTCCAAAATCTATGCCAGTTCAGCCCTGACTGGTGTGGCTCAGCTGGCCGGGCGTCATCCCACAGAGCAAACGGTTGCAGGTTCCGTTCGCAGTCAGGGCACGTGCCTGGGTTGCGGGTTTGGTCCCTGATTGGGGTGTGAGCGGGAGGCAACGGACCGATGTCTCGCTCCCTTTCTCCCGCCCTTCCCCTCTCTCTAAAAATGAATAAATTAAATCTTTTAAAAAAATTCATGCAAGTTCAATACTTTATTCCATAATATATCTGGGTTTGTTTTTATATAAAAATAACAGTTTTCCCTCAGTTTTTGCTCCAAGAAAACATGCCATGCTCACCCGTGTGGCTTCGTGTACCGTCCCCCGAACCCCTGTCCTGTTGGGCCGACAACCGTGGCCTTGGGGCTGCAGAGCAGACAGACTAGGGGGCCGAGGAGAGGATGGCAGGCCCAGGGGGACGGCAGGGCCCTCCAGGCCCGGCTG